CCTTGAGTTTCTAGGTCTGCGCAAGTACCCACCAATGCCAGCGGCAATCGAATCGCCTGTATGAATACCTATATGCAAGCTCTTCAGCCGATTACACCTTTGGGATCACTGATGCCTGGACATACGACTTATATCATGTGCTTGGTATACAACGCCAGGTCTGCTTGCATGATCAGTACCAGTACGTTATGTATGCTCATAGGGAGCTGCAGTAGCTTACAATATAGGGTGCCGCTCAGTTGAGATCGCTCAGTTCAGCGAGATAATGGTGTACCATCTAGTGAACTGACTCAGCCATGGCTACTGGGGACAACGACTGTTCACGTACCAGACGTATAGTCCTAGCCTTGTCTCTCGCTGCTGTGTCCTGAATATTCTCCAGGCGCTCTTGGAAAATAGCTGCAGTGCTCCCTATTTCAGCCCTGCTTGGGTCCGAGGCGGGATTGTCGGTTGTGCTCCAAGGGTCGTCCATCCCAAACTTGGCTAGGAGACATACGGTGGCCATCATGACGACGCGCTTGGTCATTCTTTTGCTGTGAGGAGAGTGCTTTGTAGCCCAGCGATAATCTTGAACATAGTTGCATAAAAGCACGCGCTGCAACACGCCAAGTGGGGGGAAATTCATGTGGGACCGAGTACGCAGGGTCCGTCGATCATTTGACCGGCTTTATAGACATTCGCTCTTGAAGCCACGGCATATTGATCCATCTGATGGCAGTCGAGCCCGCGAGCGCCATCCAGCCACCGACGTAACAAACTCCAGGGCAGTCAGTGCGACAAAGGTACGCTCCGACTTACGTGGACCGCGTTATAAATTGAATGGAATACCGAGGCCTCTGTTATTATGATATACAATCAACTTATGGCAGGCTCAGCGCGCACTTATTTGAACAGGCCACATAATGAGATATGCGCAGGTTCCGATGGCATCGGAGTTGTCTCCGATTGCATCAGGGTTTTCCGACGCAATCAAGACAGGGAATCCGAAACCCGATCCCCGTGGCAGCGACGTAGATGGATAATCGGAGTTACCCACACGACGAACCAAGAAAAGCATCTCAAAGATACTCATACTGACGCGCCGACGTGTGCCCTTGTGCTCACGTCAGTGTCATGAATGGGAGGATGTGAGCAGAGTACCGTTTATTGAATATTGCCTTTCATTCTTCACTGTTCAGCCTGCAGACATAGTCCGTGGACATCTTGTAGATCTCCACAGACGTCTTTTGCTCATCAAGCTTCCCATAACGCGCGTGTTTGTCGGTACAACTTCAAAAGGCACGCTGCCGCACCCTCGCGCGCGAGCTCATGAATAGCACGGGCGACGACGTGTGTTACATGGCTGTGCGACGTAGATCAATTCAACGCAAGATATTGGAATGGAAATACTCACGGGGCAAGATGCGCTGTTGCTCCTCGAAGGGAAGGGCAAACTCATTGTTTTTCTGTGGAGGGAAGTCAGGGACTAAAGCTTACGCAAAGAGGTACACAGATGAGCGTCAAACGGCACCAAATAGCCCTGGTTGTGCGATACATGTACGCGTGTACAAGCATGCGACATATTGCGGAAAGTGTACAGTCTTCAGATTGTGGTCGACGGTCCATCACGAACGGGCGAGTAACTTTAAGATGAGGAGCATGTATCTCGGAGAATTTTCAGTCATGATAGACTTGCAATGCCGCCTGGGAGGCAGGACGACGAAGACGACAGGCAACTGCACTGTCTGCAGTCTCCATCTCATTGCTACCATCTCCATCCGACTCCATCGTAGTCTCCGTCAATAGAGTAGCTGCCCCGACACATTTGATTGCGCGCTAGCTAGAGGTGCGGATAGGTTATACGCGAGTGTGACGGATGCGTCGTAGTCGGCGTCAACTCGTAGTACGAGTCGTAGCCTCGTGATCGCGCACCTCCGGCGGCCTCGTTATATGAAAGCGCCCGCGTTGGCGACTTTGATGATGGCGAGAGCGCGTATCCGTGCTTTAGCACCAGCAGTGTGCACGCCGCGTTTCGGCGTTCACATGTTCTCCCTAGAGTACGTGCGCGCACCAGGCGTACAAGCTACAGTCGCCCCACGCGACGCCTCGGCGCTACTGGACGTAGCAGAGCCCTCCACCCATCCGACCAATTATCTCCTCTAACGGCTGTAGCGCTCAGATCGCAATAACCTAGCTGTGACACTAATAGGCAACCGATGCCGTCTGCATTGACGATCGCATTCGCCAAGTCTTTCCGCTTCGGTGATGTTGATGCCACCGAGACGTCAGGCGGCCACTGGACTGTGCTGGAGGAGGGGTTGATCGCGCGCCCGATGCGTGACGTGGGACTTTGACAGAGTTGGATGCAGGTGTGATACCCTTGTCGCCTGAAGAGGAGGTAGAAACCCCCATGGAGGCAACGAACGTCGCCAGCGCGTTTGAGGTAGTCGTGCGGCTGCCGATAATCGTGCATGGAGCAGCTAGACCAAATGCGGGCACCGGCGAGGCATTCGCGCACCTGCAAGGCGCAAACCCAACGTCGCATATATATGCACGGTCCTGGAATGCTAGTATATTAGCGAACCCCTGGGGACGAAGGTCAAGACAGAACCAAGGACCGCACCCGTAATAGACTACAAGACAGATGCTATCAAGAGTAAAGAAGTAACTGCGCGTGCAAAGTGATCTATGATAGAAGGGATATCAGCGACATGCTCTACAGCACATTTTCTGTGCTTACCGTAGCAGGAGCTCGGTATGCCGTAGCCTCAGACAGAAATATCAGTAACAAGATGCTAACACTCTCTCTAAGTCGTATTCGCGCCCGAGTACAGTATGGGAGAATTCCGACCCAGGCGGGCAACTGGAAGACTTGTCGTGAGCGCAAGGAAGGGCACGCGCTCAAGCGCAAAGCGCGTAAGCAGCGTGAAAAGCGAGCAAGACTTGAGCTACAAGTCAATAAAAAGCAAGAACGCGATGAGTATTGAGAGCGCGAGTGGGCGAGGAATCCTATAGAGCCGAAGGGGTTGCGGCGAGAGCGGTCGGCAATACGAGTGGCGGGTGCTGTCACCATTCTACGGAGCTGGGGGGTTTCAATATCGGGCGTGTCAGGGACGTCGGACGCTGTCGAAGGTCTATTATTTTCAGAATCTAGGGTGAAGTAAATGGGCTTTCAAAAACGAAAGGTGCGTTCGGCGTCGTCGACGCAGGTGTCGAAGGAGCGACATAACTTAGTGGCGCACGCGAGGACCGGGCCGAATTGCCGATTTCTCACGGCGACTGCTGACTTCGCGCTACGTGCGGCTGTCACTGTGTCAGTCCGACAATCAGCAATCCTCTGCCTTTGCCTCGCCTGCTTTGCCATCCTCTTCCTCTTTCTTGCATTAGCTGCCGGCGGCGATTATCATGCCGCGATTGAGGAGGGAGACGACGAGGCATACTCTCCCTCGCCAGCGCAAAGGGCAACAGCCTGTGCGACCGAGGCCCATCCGTGGCTTCATTGAGTCGCTTTTCTCACTCTGAACCTGCCGAGAAGGTCGGCGACACACGCATTAGGCAGAGGCCAATACGCGCTTGGCGATGACCCCTCTAGACACATGCGACGCGCGTGGAGCTGCTATCGGCATCGGCAGATACGGCCAGTTCCGTTAGATCTATCGAACTTAACATGGAGGCTATCCTTGACGCTACCTCAGGCCAGCGGGCGGGCGATCTCCATGGATGCGGACAACATCCGTGCTTCTCATACAGGAGTGAACCAAACTTCAACCATCGACGGATGCGTTCGCTGGGTGCGTGGTATCCGCATACATCTTCACCGACGCCATCTCGGAGGTCTTCGCGCTCGAGCGTCGCGTATGCACGCAGAGCGCGTGAGCCGGCTCGAATGTGTACACCGCGTACGTGCGCCCGCGGCGTACAACGTTCATGAGATGAGCAAGAAGAGCGGCCGTACGGCGCTCTTTGAGTTTGTCTCTCCTTGACGAAAGGCGCCCGGTACTGGGTGAAATGTACATCCCCTTCCTCGACCATCTCTACCACGGCATCAAGGGGCAGTGTCTCTTCTTGATCAAGAACGGCGATAGCCTGCTGAAGTTGCCGCTGTACGGCGCGAGACCTCTTCCGTTGCTCGAGCAAGCTTTGATAGGTGTGCTCACGACCCTGCCATGTGTAACTTCATGTAATCCTTATATCTGGACTCGCAGCGATTGAGTGGGGATCAGACCGTAAAGCACCCTATGGTCGTGGCTAAATGAAACAACTTCTTGCACCTAGCGGACGACCTCGACAATGACGTTCAGAAGGGCAAGATGGCACAATTGTTCCGCTCCATGGGAAGCGCGGCGTTGGACTTTGCTATGATCACTCAGGGAGGAGTGGACATGTACTAGTGGGTTCGGCTTGGCCCTGTGGCCCTAGGTCGGATGCTGGGCTTGGGACTTATAGGTGAGTTTGGCGAATACGCGTTATACAATCGCGATACTCACCATCTTTTAGGCTGATGTTGTAATTGCTCAAGAAGCTGGTGATTTTTTCACCGGGCCTGCGGATTCGCCGCACGGCGGCGACGTCACTGAGAACATCCTGATGGGCCGCAACTACCTCGTAGTCCGCGGCATCGCGGCGACTGGAGTACGTACCTACCCTGTCAAACGCACAGAAACACACTTATCGATGTCTTTCTAGAACGAGACTGTCCTACAAGCACAGCAAAGGATCACCAAAGAGTTCTACGAGACAATTGAGAACCCAGGACCGGGTGCCCTGTAGAGAAGAACACGTAGACACGAATTCACCCATGTACCACCTCTACTTCTAGAAGCGCAATCTCGTCTTCCGTCAACTCTACGCTTATAACTCCCGGCAATAATATCCTCGATGAACGCGTTCTGACTCGTGTGCGACGCGTATCGATACATCCCGTAACATCTCGTAACGCACGTGAGCGTTTTCGATTGGTTCGCGTCCCGTGTCGCGCGCCACTCACCTTTCGCCACCACTTTCGCGGTTTCTCAACTTCTATGGGCGTCAACGGGCTATGGAATGTACGTACTATATTACAGAAGTGTAGATATTGCTACTAATGATGGTCACGTGGACATAGGTCCTGCGACCAGCAGCCCAACCGCGCTCGCACTACCACCTCGCCGTCGTCGACGGATTCGAAGCCAACACCTCCAACTTTCGCGGCTTCCGCATCGGCATAGACGCCTCCATTTGGTTCTTCCACGCAGAGGCCGGACGCGAGGGCGAGAACCCGGAACTGCGCACTCTGTTCTTCCGATGCGCGCGGTTGTTGAATAAACCCTTCTTGCCGGTGTTCGTGTTCGATGGACCGAAGAGGCCGAATGCCAAGAGGGGGAAGAGGATCGACAAGGGAAGCCATTGGATGGTCGTTGGTATGAAGAGGATTATCGCGGCTTTTGGGTTCGAGTGGAGGATGGTGGGTCTCAAATCCATGAGTTGTGTTATTGTGGTACTAATGGCTATGGTCTTTTGTCTTGTGTAGGCGCCTGGTGAAGCCGAAGCTGAACTCGCATATTTGAACAGCATCGGTCAGATTGACGCTGTACTTTCTGACGATGTCGACACCTTCCTCTTCGGCGCTACAATGGTTGTCCGCAAGTCAGTGCCATCCGTACTCATTGATTGGCGCCCAACGCTGACTGCTTGACATTTTCACAGTTGGAGCAACACACTCTCTGCCAACATCGCACACCCAGTCCTCAATTCCGACGGTCGCGACGACAAAGAACACTCGCACATCTACAAAGCTTCTGACATCCTCCACCACAGTCAGATCCAGCTCACGCGTGGTGGTATGATTCTCATTGGTCTCCTGAGCGGAGGCGACTACTCCGAAGGCGTGAAAGGCTGCGGCATGAAGACCGCTCATGGGCTCGCACAATGCGGCTTCGGCGACGAACTCTTCGATGCAGTCCAGACACGCTCACGGGATGACCTCCCGGCCTTTCTGGTGGGATGGAACTCTCGCCTTCGCGAAGAGCTCAAGACGAACTCCAAGGGCATGCTCGACAAGCGAATGCTCAAACTTGCGCGCGAATGGCCTAAGAAGTTTCCCGACCTCGAAGTTCTATACCTCTACACCGACCCCGTCACATCTAAAACGGACGCATCAGCCCGACGCACACATACCCCGCTCGAATGGAAGAAAGAGCCTGATCTCAGCAAGATCGCGAATGTGTGCGAGATGTACTTCGAGTGGGGGTTCGAGGAGGTCATTATCAAGCGCTTCAGGACTGTGCTGTGGAATGGCGCCGTCCAGCGCGTGTTCCGCAGGGCGGCGTTGGAGGACGATGCGAGGAAGCGTGGAGAGAGGACTGTCACGGGGAAACAGACTTCGCCTGCTGGCGTGGACTACATTGGCACGCCATTCGCGCTCATAAAACAATACTTCTCCGAAGAAGCTGTCGAGCGGCCCGACAGCGATCTCATCAACCTGATTCATGGCGTACGCAGTCACGCTATGATTGACCATCTTCTCGAGTACCGGATATCCATCAACCCCGAAACCCTGGTCAAGATATGTAAAGCCGGATTGAAGGGTACTCGTCCGCCCATCCATACGACCCTCGACGTGCTGCCGGATGCTGCTGATGATGATAGAACGGGGAAGAAGAAGCGCGCGCCGAAGGAGGTTGTGGACCCGCTTACGCCGTACAGGGTCTGGGCACCCGCATCGATTGTGCAGCTTGTGCGTCCGGACTTGGTGGAGAAGTTCGAAGGAGGCGAGGCGAAGAAGGCTATGAAGGCGGCCAAGACCGCACGGGCTGCGGAGAAGCCGGGTGGTGACGGTATGGCCACAAGGACTGGTGACAGGGCGAGGAGGACGAAGAAAAAGGCGCCCGCGGACTTCCCGCTGGGCGCGTTCGACGCTGATTTGGAGACCTTCGACATCGGGAATGTGTCGGGGCCCGACGATGGCGCACCAACGATCCTTGCTCGCCCGGGGCGTTCAAAGCTTACAACGAAGTCGAAGGCGGCGGGCAAGTCTGGCGCGACAGCGGGTCGTTCGTGCAAGAAGGCTCCGGCACCATTCTTGTCACTCCGCAGCGACAGCGTCGACTACGAAGACGATCTACCGCATACTGCCCCACCGAACCCACCTCAGCCCAAAGCATCCACTTCATATCACCCGCTTTACCTGGAAGACGAAGACTCGCTCGACATTCCTCCTCTACCGGCGTTCAACTCACGCTCAAGACCTGCTTCGCAACCTCCGTTGTATACGGAAGACGAAGAGTTGTTCGACATTGACCCGCTGCCTCGCTTTAGCTCGCAGCGCAAGCCACCACCCAGGGTCCCCATATACCTCGAGGACAAATGTTTGGATAACGCTGCGCCCCGACCTGTATTCAGCTCGCAGCCTGTCGCCGGGCTGTCGAACACCGTGAAGAGCTTCTTCGGAGTCAGCAAGTCTAAGGCGGCGGCGGCGAAAGGCAAAGATCCAGCAACACCCACTACCGTCCGACGGACAGTGGATCTGACTGTTCGTTGCCTGCCGGACTCCTCGATTACCACGTCCTCAACCGTCGTATCACGCGCCGTCGCGTCCACAGCTTCAACACGTATTGCGGCAAGCGGTGGTTCATCGGCGGTACTAGAACACCTCGACCAAGCCTTCGCCGGATTGCGCAAGCTCACCCGAACAACGCCGTCCACTTCCACCATCTCGACGACGCCATTTGTAGCACAACCTTTCCCACTCGCCTTCGAGCCCGAGAAACCCTTCTCAGACGATGGCGACCGAGCCGCACTACCTCCCCCACCACTACCACCTCGATACGCGCACATCGAACGAACCCCTCCCGGTCGACGAGCCCGCACACCATCTCTCACACGCTCCTCCAATACCAATACCCCGCGCAAGTCGCCCCGGCATAATGCCCGACACTCATCGCCACGAAGAACAGATATCATTGAGCTAAGCTCATGTCCGACGGCATCTCCTCCACGTAAACCACCCCGCTCGCCACCTCGTCATAGGAAACCATCTCCTACACATCGACCGCGCAAGATCGACGTTTCTGTCATCGAGATCGATTCGACTTCGAACTCGGGAGATGAGGATGCGATCAGGCCTTCGGTTAGCGCTGTGGCTGCGTCGGCTATGACACGCACGCCGGCGCTTTCCCCCAAGGGTGGCACTGCGAGCCGGAAACCGCTTGTTCCTACGTAGGCGAGACGTACGCCAGCTGTTGTGGGCGGGACATTTATTATTGATCTAACGTGATTTATGTTCCGCAAATATCCCAGCAGCAATTATCTCGTACGACCACCTATATATCTACTTATGTGAGCACTTGTAGCGAATTTGAACGATGAATAAATCATACCTGATCTATCCGGGGAGCTACGGTCAGTCGCCCATCGGCGTACATTCACCCCCAGGTTGGATTCCAGTACTGAGTGTTGTCCTTGGATGTGGATGAAGGTCGAGCGCACGCGCGCGAAGAACATGCTACTTGACCCGATCCCGGACATCGGCCTTGCTGGATGCGACCCAGTTTGCCTCGAAAGATCCACGCGCGACTTTGCTTTCGGGGTCGTATACATGCTAACCTCCTTGATATAGTGCTATCTAGAGTAAGATACACGGTGAGCTGCGCCTACCTCCCAACGATAGCGCCATTTGCGGCTCTAACACATTCACAGCCCAGCAATCATCTAGACGGGCACGACTCCCTTCATTCGCCGCCACCCCTTCCCGGTCTAGGTATCAGTCATTCTATATTCCTATAGGAGAGATGTAAAGGATATGTGCTCATCAGAAGGTTGAGCTATTGTACGCATGAAGAACGCAGTACATGTGTTAGCAGCCCGGTCGGAAAAGCACATCTTGTTGACGTCATCGTCGGAGCACACGAACACTCGTCGGAGTGCTCTGTCGGAGTAGATATAGTTTCATCGTCAAGTCGGAATCGGAATGTAGTCGGATTCCGGCGCCCTTTCGCACCCGCGTCATCCGACGGCCCACCCTTCCCCTTCCGATCATCGGGACCTACAGTTTTGAGTTGTTTCATGCCCGTCACTGAGACTTCATCAACTCAATAGAGTACCACACAGATGGTAAGGAAGCCATTTAACCTATCTCGGGAATTTGACGAGACGGGGATGTCAACGTAAAGTACCTAAGATTGCCCAAAGATTTAAGATGCAGGCTCGTCACAGCGGTAAAGTGTACTTCGGTCTCACCCCCTCTGTCTGCATCACACGCCTTCGCCATGGTACCTGCTGAGCTACAACGATTTGTCGGAGACGGCCCAGAAGCACTATCCACCACACTCCCACACATAATGCACGTCATCTTTGACAATGACAATGACAGAGCGCGGGCTCTCGCTGGTCGTATATTTCGAATTGTAGATGCGTTGTCCAAAGACATAGACAAAGAGGCGAGGGTATGTGGTATGACACTTCTCTGGCACGAGCACGTATGTTGGATTTTTTCAGAGCAACAAAAGGCGCTGCGCTCATTTATCCGTAGAAGCTTCTGCAGGCCACTTCCCCCAATCAGCGAAGCGCTACTACATCAAAAGTTATGGGACATGACATATGCGACTACGTTGTGCTGTTCAACTCTCCCGGCTCTGCCTGCGCCCCTCGAGACGTTGTGCACGGTTGCGACGTTCTACGTGAAGAACAAAAGGAATGGCTAAGAGATGATTTCAAACTTTGGGGTGAAAATGGTTTGAGCCTTCTCAACTGGTGGATTCTCCTAGGTCTGTGAAACCCTCTATGATGACCACCATCTGTCTCACCGTGTACTCAGAACCTCCACTCAGTTTGGACGCCGTTTTTCACCATCTGACTGAATGCCAATGCTCTTCGCAGGGTCTCCCTCCATCAGTAACATCTGAATGGGATGACCACCACAATTACCTCGCCAAATTCTCAGGATATTGCTTACGATGTACCCGTTCGGAAGATAACCGCTAAAGTTGTTTGTCTCATGCAAATGCCCTGGAACCCATGTTTCCCCCTCCTACAGTCACGTCATCAGTACTCTCAGTCCACCCTGATGTCCCCTAGTAACAAAGAGCATGACTTCTTGAGTTGAAGAAGTACCTATAGATTTTTGAACATCGGGTAAGGTAGCGTCGAACTCTCATTCGAACCCAGTCAAAGCTGGTGCATTTGCGTGGCATCCGCTCCAATCCCACGACGGTACTCCAAAGCACGGTGAGCAGTGTCTGATCGTATGAGTGCCGGGGAGTCCCACTGGCGCTGCCAGCATTTAATTTAATTATAAATCGCCAGGGCTATCAGAGTGGTTGAGCCACAGACCAATGGCTAGCTTTAAACGATCCGGAGCGACGCTGTAGTTTTCGAAACGTCCTTCTCGAGAACGGCCTGGCCTTCGTACTCCCAGTCTTCCTTCCATGTACTCATGGTGTGCACTAAGATCTCGTTAAGCTTGGATTTAACGAGATGCGGAATGGGACGCAGCCACATACATGTAGAATACTGCACAATCTTGCGTGCGTTCTCGTGTGCACGTCGGAAGGCCGTCACACGATCGGCGACCTCACCAGTCGCTGAGAGGCGCGTCGGTCGGTTCAGAGTGACTAGTGTTTGCCAATGCTCGCAAGAGTTTACACAGGCTTTTCACAATAGCGCAAGGGAGGCCGTATTTGTGGTTGTCATCGGGTGAAAGGCAAGAGCCAAGTCGCGTTGAATCGTGCCCGCGCTCTCGGCCACCTCGGGCCGAGCCCCGCAAGGTGCGCAGACGTTCCGGAGCAAGTTATCTGCAACGTCCACCACCTACCGGTGAAGCACAACGGAACAGGACCCCTACGTCATTCACCCGTCTTCATGTGAGCTCGGGTACGGCTTTCACGCTTGGTAATTCTGTCGGTATCAGCTTCAACGGGCACAAAGAACAATGCGCGAGAGCGAGCATATAGCGCCGCGCAGGTATACTGTGCGCGGTGGCCAGGAATTGACAACTCCCGGACCTCTCGGGCCACGTATACTTTCTATTATGAGCGCAAGTACTCCTAGCGGTTATACTGGCTCCTTTGCTAGCCTCCCGTCACCGTGCGCCCAGCTTCGCGCCTCGCATCTGCGGCTAGCAGAGAACTGACCGGAGTACTGGCCTCCTGTGGACATCCCCGGCCGCTCCCTTCATCCAATGCTCTCAAACCTTTCTTTTCGGCGTCACCGAGCAACAGAGTTGCTTCAGGCAGTTATGAGAACAGGAACTCGGCTACTCTATCCCATGCCCTCGTTCTGGGGCATGATTCATGTCCCCGCTTTGGAAAGGCCTTGTTATTACAAGTTGTCCGGGTTCATGGAAAACACTCCAGGTCTCGAAGTGAGTATGCCCATTCTCTCCTCTTCTTGCGCCCAATGGGGCACTTGATATCCTCCGAACCATCCTGAAGACATTCGATCAGCTTTGGGCTTACCGAGGCGCAGGTACGACATGTCTATGCGTTGGCGAGTGCACAATACTCAATTGAATACAGTACGGCTCAAGGACTACTTTGCGAGCACCA